CCTGACTGGAGGAAACAGAGTGAGGATGCGGTAGATTGTGGCTCCTCTATCATCCTGTTAGTGTCCAGGTCCTCCAAATAAGCGTCATCGCTCGGGTCCTGTGACCGGCCAAATGTCTCCAACGTCTGCTCGTACGCGTCCCATTTCTCCTCGCTCACGATCGGCGCAAGAACATAAGGACCGACCTCCAACTTGTCCAACCACTCTTCAAGCCTTGCAACACCCTTGGTGCACGCGTTCAATTGCATCTCCAGCTGCTCCGACCTGGACAGGTGCACTGCGGGATCACTTGTTTCGGAGTACCAAGCAGGGTCAGAGAGGATGGCCGACGAAAGGTAGATATCAATGAGAGTTGGATCAACGGAAGCTTCTATGGCGGCGTCGTAAGCCATGCGATGACCAACGGCCTGCATCAGAGGAACGCAGAGCGGGAGAATGGCTGCTTCGATCTGGCGCCTCCGATGAGAACCGGATATTTCCTTCGGGGACCCTTGACCCCTAAAGAGGTGCGACCTGAGTTGAGAGATAATGGCAGCTTCATGATGTGCCAACCGGCTCTCAGGGTCGCTGGAACGGGGTGGTGCAATCCTTCCCAAAGCCAAATCGATAGCAAACCTGACAGAAATTCCTAGGATATCTCCTTCCGCGATCCCGGAACCACGGGCATCAGCCTGAATGAAGGATTGAGTCAGGGGAACGGCTTAATGAATAGATGAAAATCCCATGCGTACGATCAAGGAGTCTAGCTGGTTAACTCGAAGCAACCCCTGAGCACCACACCGGTCTGCAAGAGCCACCAGATCCTTCATAGTGTGTCCGAAAAGAGTAACCTTTGTAACAGCTGCCAGAAAATGTTTCATCACGCTTCCGAGTTCAGGATCCCCAAATCCAGCACGGATGTTGCTGACGAAGGCGATTGAAATAAAGGCATCCGCTATCGCAGTCATCACCGGGATGTACTGAGTACTAAAGCTGATAATGGGTCTTGAGAGTCCAGTAGAAGCATCGGTCACCTTCCGCCTCAGGCTATACTTCCCAGCGATGTAAGAGATGATGCGCAGGCCAGGTAGACACGAAGCAGCCATAGACAATGTGCCCACGACCACCCTCGAAATGTTGTGAAAGAACTCGGCTCGAGGATCCATTGCGCGGTGTAGTGTGGTAAGTAGCGCTGTGGGTGAAAGTCGGACGTGGTTGAAATATGTGAGGGCATGATTGACAGGGTTGGATGAGCCGCGGGGGGATAATCGCCTACAATGAGCCAGGAAATGAGGGTAAGTGAACCAGTGGGTGCGAGTGAGGCAAGGCGAACTTTGCTGTGATCCCGGGATACATCGAATGCCCGTCGTGAATGGGAACTACGAAAGGTTTTACCCCTCTATCCTCCCCGTCGACCAGCAGGCGTGCAAAGACAATTCCGTCCGACAGTATTCCACAGGGGATGGAAGGAGGCATGAACCTGGTTTAGATCATGGTAAGATACGTCAAACCGCCAAATGTGACCACGAGACTAACTTGGCCGCTCCTCTATGTGGAGTATGTAAATCGAATGATCCGTCGGGTTTCAATGTGGCCGTTGTCTCGAGGTTGATCACATCTAGGCCATGATCGAGCTCCGTCAAAAAGTAATTTCCACTGTCATTCCGTGTAAATACCTACAGTAACCACTTGGTCGCGAAACAACGAGACTCACAAGGTTTCGAAGCGAAGGGCCTTGTCCAAGGCAACTTGGACATCGGGTCTCCCGGGGGCAAACATTACGAGAGTCCCAGTATAGAGGTTGCAGTGTATGGTCAATAGGACTGGGACCGATCCATCCATGAGCAAGATTGGATCGGTATGGAACTCCAAGTATCTTGTAGAGACGTGGAGGATATCTTCAGCCGTCAGATCTACAATAAAACATGTGTTAACACGGCAGATTTGAAACGCGAAAGGTCATTCACGCACCGTACAGCCTTCCAATAGACCTGGCTCGCTTGTAAGAAAGGTGAACACACTCATCCCACGACGAAAAGTGGTCATGGCGCTGGAAAAGTTCTGTTTGAGAAAGGTCAACGCTCTTCAGATGCATGGTGGACAGAGGGGAGAGGGCTGGTGCTCTCTCTGACTACGTCGGACCATTTATAGGATTGAACATAGACCCATGGGAGCGGTTCGAGAAATGGGGCACATGCACCAGGATTGTCGGGGATAAGTTGTTCGGGACCCTGGCATTGATTAAATTGGTGGTTCCTGGCGATTCCAGGAAACCGACTCGGGGAAAAGAGTGGAGAACACTGAGCCTACATTTGTTGATTTTCCCGGGACTCCAGGTTCCCGCGTCTTGCCGTTTTACTTCCGTCCTGCGTGAAAGGAGGACGGAGCGCCAAAAAGAACACACGGCTGCGATGGGGAGACGACGGTGGCTACTGAAGTCTCGTGTTGAGGCCAAGGTAATCGATCCTGAAACCAGTCGCCTTCTCTCCGAGGAACGGAAGAAGTGCAGGAAGGAACTGACGGAGGTTCAGAACGTTCAGAGGTCGGAACTTGACATGTAACACCCAGAGGCGAGAGAAGCAGATACGGGAGAAGTTGAAAGAGGTGGAGCGCGAGTCACCGGTTCGGACCAGGGAGGCAGTCGAAGCAATCGAGGAACGGCTCGAGGAATCGAAGAGTGAGAATGAGATTCTGAAGAAGAATCTCGCTAGGCTCAACGCCTGTAACCATCGAGAAGCGTCAAGGATCCAACGTGCAGTTCACAAGGCCTAAGGCTTTGAAATGTAACGACACTAGTGCAACCTAGCCAATCGTCTGCTACGTCAAGGATAAGCAATGAATTGTCCAAGACTGGGCACACAACGCAATCCTCGTGTTGGTCAACGAGGGGGTTGCGATGCCGAAGACTTGGTCGGTCATGGAGGCGAAGGCGAAGGCGCTGGGAGTAGAAATTGTTGGAGTATCCGAACAAGTTGCAGAGTGATTCACGAAGGAGGCGTTGCAGCAGGACTCATGATAGTCGAGACGTCCCAACAAGTCATACCGCGGGCAGCACGAACAAATGAAACATTGTACGCCACCCAACCAAAAAACAATAGCGTGCCACAAGATGCACCATATGATAAAGCAATCCACAACACAACCGATATACCACAATCACAAGCCAGCGTTTGTATCCAAACTCGAACCACCTAACAGTCCTCGTGCAACGTCCCGACCGTTTCCCACTCCCCATACACGCCGACTATCGTGCGCCGCTGTATCATTATTTTGGGAAGGAGACCACGGATGCACGTACGAGGACGCGTCCACGTATTCGTTGTTTTCTGTGCCAAAGCCCATGTGAACCGCGATGACTTCAGCACGTGCAATGTTCGAATGCTTTGGGTGGATAAAGATCCCGTCCGGCTTTGATTTTGAGCGTGGCCTGGTTGTCACTGAGGAGGTTTGGTTGGAGATGATGGGAGGTGTATACTGGAATGAAGGGGACATTTGTGACGGGGAGATGGAATGGGGATATGAGTTTTCGAGGGAGGTTGACAAAGCCATGTGTGGTCGTGGTGATGGATAGTGATGTTCCTGTTGATAGGGCGAACCTGAGTTCAACTCATAGCCATCCGCAGACGTTGCTAGAAGGGGTTCCTTCACGCCATTGACGCTTTCAGTAGCTGTGAGTGCGCAAACGATTCACAGGGTTGGGGCACTTACTCTTGTGAATGGCGAGGTAGAAGGTATCCGGACTCTGGATGATTCATCATGGTTCCTGGATTTTCATTGAGTTCTATGACGAACTGGCCAGCAGCCAAAGATGTGACCTGTACTAAACATTAGGAGGGATTGACGTGTGGGACCTTCTGACACACGATGACAATTAGGATCCACACATTCAGTGACATTGCTGCGAGCATATAGAGCCTAGGCACCACAATGAGAATCGAACGTAGTTGCAGTCGCTCATGAAGACATACATCCTTTGGAAAGTCACCACCCAATACAACGCGGTTCTCCACATCGATACACGCAGCTGTGTGCTTCGGAGGATAGGTAGGGGGCTCCAACGACGTGAGATTGCCAAAGTTAAAATCCTGGGAAAGCCACAGAGCAAGGGTAAGCAACGCTGGTTGATTTCATGTGGAAACCACTCACCGCTCCGAGAAGCAGATGGCCGTGATAAATAGTGCGCCCGCAATAAACGACTCAAAGGAATCTATCCTCAGGTTTGTGAGTAAGAAAGGTTCCCCTAAGAACCCAAAGTGTAGTCTTTCTTGTGCGTTCATGCCTGGTTGCGGTCGTTCCTGACGACGGTGGAGTGTAAAGGAGCATCTACTGCAGGTTTCTAAGGGGTAACCGGTAAACGTTAAACGTAACGATCAGATCGATCAGAGGCTAAATCTGCCGTGGATTCCCACCACCACCACCACCATCTCACCGCCGCATCTCTTACGCCGTCAATACCTTGACTGTGCACAGCCCCACCGCTGACTTTATGTTGAACTTGACTCTCGACATGAAGAATGTGCGTCTAAGTTTTTAGTCTCGTGGTTGGTTGGCTAGCCAAATGCAAGTGCCCAGGGGCAATACGGTGTCACGACAGTCCTTTTTGGCGCCCGGAACCCGATCACTTATAACTCGTGGATGTTCGGTGAAGATTTTTACCAGTCACAAACGAGAGTGTTTGTGAGTGGTCTGCTTTTGTCGTCGGGGTCAAGCATGAACTGTAAAATGTCGGTCTGGCCAATTTTTGCGAGTAGAGTTTAGGAAAAGCAGCAGAAAAACACAAATTATTGATGTTGAAGGGGAACCGCGAGATCCATGATGCGCCCACCGTGGAGATTGCTGCTGGAGCGGCTATCTTAGCATGGCCTCAGTAGATAGCTGTCGTTGTGGTGTCAATCTGAAATCTCACATACGCTGAAGAGTCGGTTTGACCTATTGGACCTAGAGAAATCGCGCCAACAAAGCTTGGCGGTAGAAAATCTGAATGATGTACACATAGGTAATTAAAGGGACGATTCTTTAATGGCTTGGTGGTCTAGTAGTATGATTCCTTCTTAGGGCTAGCACGTGCATATCACGTGACCCAATGGAGGAGGTCCCGGGTTCAATTCCCGGCCAAGCCCTCTCATTTTGGTCGAGAATACTTCCTTTTTTGAGTTCAAAATGCAAACCGGAGCGACCGGAAACCGTCATTCCAATCTGCTGCATTTACTCCCGTCGACTGAGTGTCGCGTTACTATCAACGGAAGGAGTGTCCCGATCACGATCACTTTGATTCATCTTCCGTTCGGCCTTCCGACCTGTGGCATCCGTTCTGAATTTCTCGAATCCATCCCTCCTCACTCGTCATATCAGCTGGGACCCCTCACAACCGCGAGGGAAATCAGAAATGATTGTCAAGTCTCCAGCAGGGTTGGTATCCGCACTCTACTATTAATCACCCATCATTCGAACATTGAACCCGACGTTTCTGTCCAACCCTAGGGGTAAAGGGAAGAAGCAAACATTTGAACAATCCGAAGGAATCACCATGGATGCAGCCAATCTCGCCGGACCATCTTCCCTGACCGTCAAGAAAGGTGAGTTCATAAACTTTTCCTTCTCGATAAGTTTCTCAGTTTCGGACTTTTGGTGTAGTCAAACGCGCAGAGACTCGCCAATGTCCCATATGCTCCGAACATATCCCAGTGCGACTCCTCGAAGCGCACTGCGATCTCGAGACGCAACGTACGGAAGAGATCATCAGAGCTGTAGGCTCCTCGGAGGTGTATGGCGATTCAGTTGACGGGTACGGTCCTCATCCGTCCCATGTTCACCACCTCCAGTTTACACTATCGGTGTGCAGAGTTCAATTCTCTCGAGCTAGACGCTCCGCCGCTCGAGCCCAAAAAGCCTTCTCGCGATACAATTCTGGGCCTGCTCCCCAAAATACCGTCGCTCGAACGCAAAAGACTGTCAAAACCGTTAAACGTCGTAGAAAGCAGCGATACCATCGGTTACGCGAAATGATCCAGAGTTATAACGACGACGCTCCCCACCAAGGTGGGAGAGGAGAGGTAGGTGGCGAGACCGTTTGTCCGGTTTGTTTGGAAACTGTGTTTGGAGACCCTGATATCGCGGAGGCGCATGTGGACGCTTGTCTCGTTTACGCCATGTCCAGCACTCACGAAGAGACTGAAGTCGACATTGGAGGGTCAAGCAGGACAAGGGTCACCGAAGGTGCCAATCTCACAGGTTCGATTCACCCCAAGCCTCAAAGGCAATTTCCGTACCGAAGTCGCATTCGGTGTTACAGCTTCGGGTTTCCATGTTAGGGACACGAGTCACGAAGATGTCGAAGATGAAATTGACATCGACGGCGACGACGAGGAGGTTTTCGGCCAGGCGCAGTTCACAGAGGTGGACGTCTTGTCTGCATCGAGGTCCATAAGTCCGAGCAGGGAATCAGAGACCATTGAGATTGAGGAGGCTTTGGGACCCTCGATGCCTTTAGCGAAACACCCGCCATCAGATTCCCGGCTTGTAAGCTGCCTCCGTCATCCTCATCGCTGCTCCATCTTATTATGAGCATAAGGAACTATGCAATCTTGCCCCAACGTGCAGAATCTGTCTCGACTCGTACGCTGAACCTACAGTCTCCACTCAATGCTGGCACACATGTTGCCGAAGATGTTGGTTACGTTGCCTAGAGTCGAGGCTCTGTCCGATATGCAAACGGATCACCGCAGCGTCGGATTTGAGGCGCATATATCTTTGACACCCCCCTTGGAGGATCCACACTCATTTGTAGGTACCGGCGCGAAGACGTGTTTGTGCATTCCCATAGGATAATGAATAATAACGCTGGATCGTACGTACATACTATTTCGTCGTTGGCGAGATCTAACCCTTGAGCATGATGTGAGGCCGGGACAGAGTACCAAGAGATACCGAGAGAATAGATCGGAAAATTTGAGGTGGCTCCGTAGAGATGAGACTTGAGGGGATTGAAATGGCCGGGGTACACGCAAGACAACTTGAGAGAGAGAAGTGGAAGGATGGAGAGGAAAATGGGGAACGTAGTCCGGGATGTCGTGAAAATAATAAGCAGAACGTCAAACAAAGAAACAGACAAGAACCTCCTTTCTTCGTCTACCCTTCCACCGTGCACCGATACACAACGCAAAGGGGATATACAAGACAAAAACCCGCCGCCGCCCGGAGAACGAAAAGGCTACGAAGAGTAGAACTGGGGGTGACGGCCGCATCACGACTTGGAGGACCAAACACCAGCGGGCTTGGGATCGTATTCATCGTACGTTGGTGGGTTATCGTCATACTGTCCCCTGCCCTGTGCAGGACCCGGTCGATATCTATCGTTATCCGGAGTCACATTAATCAAGATCGGCTGCTTTTTCGGAAGTGGTCCAGCTCCTCCCGCTCCTTGCGAACGTTGTGGCGCTTGCGTTGGACTCTGCACTCGAACGGGAGTAGGTTGGTATGCCCCCGTGTACACCTGCGTTGGCGAAGTCGTCCTCACAAGTGGCTGATGTCCATACGAGTCCACGTAAGGGTTAGGAGTGTACCCTGCACCGCCTTGGCCATCTGGGACGATGTTGTTTCCGTACCCGGACCCCCCGAGAGTGTACGCACGCTGGGGTCCTTGTCCTGTTCCTTGCGTGTAGGGGTTTTGGTAGGGATCGTGTTGGTAAGCACTGTGCGGGTTAACCAGATACTGATCACCTCCGGAGGAGTATGGACTTGTGTATGGGTTTTGTTGCTGTTGCTGTTGGATAGGGGGAGATGGAACGGGGATCGGTGGGCTGTTGGAGGGTGCGTATGGGTCAGCGCCATACGGATCATACGAAGCGCCTTGTTGATGGGACACGGCAGAATGATCTACGTAAGGACGTTCAGGACTGGGGAATCGAAGGTAACCAAAGGCTGTACTCACAAGATGTTCCATGAGGTTGGTGTCCGTATTGAGCACCGCCGACTGCGAGATATTGTGAGTTGGCTTGTGGTAGGGGAGGAGCAGGAGTAGGAGGAGGGGGAGAAGAATAGGTAGACTGAGAATAGGTCGAGGCGGTCTGACTATGGATTGTTCCCTGGCGCTTCGGTCCAGGTGGGTATCCCGCTCCTGTCGGGTTGTAATAATCATCTACGGCCCGGCCGCCAGGTTGGCCAGGCATGTAACCGCCAACATACGTATGACCGGTAGCAGGCTGTTGACTCGGAGAGGAAGCATCGAGGTATCCTTGCTGAGGGAGTTGAGAATGGCTGGGTTGTTTCACAACTTGATTGCCCTCTTCGTATGCGTATCCCTCATCTGATTCCTTGTGGGTCAAGGGCTGGAACTCCTGGAAGGCAGGAAGACCGCCTTCCTTGCCATACTTCTGCTTGGCCTGACGTTCTGCCTCGGCTTTGATGGCATCCATCCTGACTTGATCGACGTACTCATTGTGACCAGGCTCGAAATCTCCAGTGCCGCTCCTCTTGCCATTCCTTGATGGTCTACTGTCCAGACAGCACCTTCCACAACAGAAGAAGATGCCGCTGAAGAAGAGAAGGGCCCAGGCGGCGAGGGTGAGCCAGATGGCGTTGCCGATCGAGGCGCTACCGCCAGCACTCTTTATCCTGGCTTTTGTCAGGAAAAAGAGCGCAAGGTCGAAGATAAAGGCGATCATCGCCACAGCTGCGCCGAAGCCGGAAATGCAGGTACTACAACACGTTATGGAAATTTCTCGGATATGCGCGAGGAGACCGAACACAGCCGATCCCGCGGCCAAGACGAGTGCGACGATGTGGAGGACGAGACAGTATGTGATCCACTTGACAACTACGTTGGGGATCTGGATCTTGGTGTTGTTTCCGAGCAAAGTATTGATGTCTGTGAGCGGGGTTGGGTTGTACGACCGAGACAACAAACTATCGTTACTGACGGTCGCTATGCGGGAATTATAGCGGTGGGCCGCACTCACCAAGCTGGTAACCCACCGAGGGTTTTGAACAGGTAATCTTGCCTGCATTATCGAGACAGTATCCGAGAGTTCCGAAGGTGAGAGAACCGTCAAAGCCATTGACCGTTGCCTTGAGGAAGTAGATGGACTTGATCAATGGAACACCGAAGGAGACTGCTGCGAGGAGACCGGTAGCAGCGAGAGTTGCGAGAAATCCCGGGGTTGCTGGGCGGATGCATCCCATGTCTGGGAGGCGTCAGGCTGATGAGATGGGGGGAGGAAAAAAGAGGGCGAGCGTCCCCTTTAACACACACTCCTTGGCTTGAGAGACGGAGAGGATGTAGCAGTTGCCAAACAGAGGCAAACATCCACCTCCACCCAAGATTAAAGGCAGTGCGGTTGACGACTGCGCATTTCTTTTTATTTTATTTATTTTCCAGGTCGTTCCCATTCCAATACATGCATCCCTTCGATTCGCCCGCATCCCGGTCCAACCAACTCGACTTTGACCGTCTCCAGCAGTTTCAACCCGTTCTTCTCAAATACGCGCACGCTGCCCATGTTGCCCTCGAACGCCTCAGTGTGGATTTTGTGGGCATTCAAGTGGGGAATCATCCACTGGTTTATCACCATACCGACTGCTGCGGACATGATCCCCTTGCCGTGATGGCTGGACCGAAGATAATCTGCGGAATGTCAGTGCAAAGTGGCACATGCCCGACTGCGCATTAAATAACGCACCTCCGATTGTCCACACGATGGTGGGATCCCCGATAGGTTTCTCCAAGTTCTCTTTTGTCATCTTTTCCCTCAGTTCTTTGTCGCTGACCTCCATCCAACCGTTCCTCGTCACCGACAAATCACCTAGGAGTAAGTCTGTTCCATCAGGCTGCACCTCTCGGATGTATTGCACCGGACACCCGTCGACCACCGTCTTGCCTTCGCGAAGGTCCTCTAAAATTTCGTCCGACCTCTTCTTTACCATCTCCAGCCACTCTTCCGCGTGGTGAAGATAATAGGGGAATGGAGGCTCGAGTAAAAATTTATAGACTCTCGGATCATTGAGGATAAGGACGAGGTCAGCCGCATCACTGTCTCGAGGTGGGGTTATGATGATATTTTCGTGGGGAGCGGGGAGGCGAAGAAACACTTCGCCCGTCATGGGGTTCACTTGGAGGGTGTTC